TCGGGTACCACTCTTATCTTGGTAGACCCCTGATCTATGCAGACACTTTCTGTATGGATAATGCCCTCACTGGCCCCTCCACCTTCTCAATGTGGGATTTTAGCTATAAGTGTCAGCAGATGGTAAGTATGTTTTGGAAGTTAACATTTTCCTAAATTACAAATGTATTTCCAATAATACTAACCTCCACTGACACTCTTCCGTCCTTCCTCCACATTAAGAGCCGATGTTAGAGACTGGGATGGTGTCAGTCTTGAAAAAGTGATAAATTTATCTGAATGAAGTGCTTATATACAGTACCAGGATAGAGTGCACACTGTCGTAGGTGGAGAGTATATCACTAAGGGCAATTGAGTGGGGTATAAAAAACTGGAGCAAGCGAGAAAAAATTAGACCAATGCTTAGATGGGCAAAGTTGAAACCTTGTATTACAAGGAACAGCTACAAGTGTCAGCGAATGGTAAATATGTTTTGGAAAATCAGATGTTATGTTTTGCTAGTCAGTTTAAAAATGATAAAAATTTTTTATACATTTAAAAGAGTTTACGAGGTAATAGAGAAATAAGTTTTATAGAGCACAAACCACAAGAAAACATATATAAGCAAATCAACTGTTTAGAAGTTACGTATCAAGTTTTATGCAAGTTGGAGTTGTGCATATAACAGTTTAACTTTTTAGCATCAATTTTGATGAAACAGTGAAGAAACTCTAATGGATAAATAAAACTCTGTAAATTACTAAATTAAAATTTCCAAATTTTACAACCACAAAGCAAATGCTTTTCTGATTAGAATTATACCTAGTAAAATGTATATTTAATTAGGATTAATCTTTCACCTGATTAAGTTTCAAAATACAATATACATAACCAAAATGACACACACACACACATATAAAATCTCATTTACTGGCACAAACAACAAATGCCTCAGTATTTTCAAACATGCTACACATATTTAAGTAAATACCAACCTTGAAACATCCAGCTTCTGCTATAATTAGAATTTCAAATCCTTGACCAGGAGAAAATGGGAAGCATGGTCCATGGCTTTCTTCTACTCCCCACTGCTGTGACTGGATGGAATTGCGAACAATGCGTGGAGGAGGAGAAAATATTGGGCTCAAGTGTAGTGCTACATCATCTCGTGGATTTACATTAGGGCCACACTGAAGGTTTATTGCAAAGCTGGACATAAAACAAGATCTTTTTAAACTTTCATATGTCACAATAGTGAAGAATATAATTTCTCTGTCTTCATACTAATCGTTTGTAAATTATACATTTAATTATTCATATACATAAAATGCAGAACCTTAACTACATTTTCATATAAAAGTTACAAAAATACATAGAGAAAAA